TGTTTCTTTGAATACGATCGGAGAGATGGGACTCAAGTGCTCGTATATTTATACACTCAAGTTTCTAAAATTTATTATCCGTAGTTTCTTAGTTATATATAGTACGTATTATATTTTCCCTTAGTTATATATAGTACGTATTATACTTTCCCGTTTGGAGGGAATCAAACAAACATCGAACAAACACATACTATGTATTTGTTTCTTGTACTATATATAACCAAAAAACTACGCATAATAAATTATAAAAGCTTAAGTGTGTAAATATACGACGTGCACTTGAATCCTAATGTCACTCCGATCGTATTTAAAGCGGAAGAAATCAATTTTTCGAGAAATCGCAACGCTGATCGATCTCTTCCTAGTCCTCGATGCTAGTCCTCCAGCTCGTCTCGAATCACGTCCTCAGATGCACGTTATAGTTGTTGTTTTTCTTCTTGTGGGTCTCAAGGTGCTTCATCATATGGTCCTTTCTGATGAATCCCTTGCCACAAGTATCACAGGCGTACGGCTTTTCGCCAGTGTGGAGGCACATGTGCCGTCTGAGGTCAGTTTTGTGGTTGAACTGCTTCGGACATATCTCGCACTTGTACGGTTTGTCACCGGCGTGCTTCTGCAGGTGCTCCGCGTGCATGTACTCGACGGGGAACCTTTTGCCGCACTGATTGCATTTGAATGGCTTGTCGCCAGAGTGGAAGCTCTTGTTGTGTTGCGTCAGGTAGCAAGCCTTGTTGAAGATCTTGTCGCACTCGATGCACTTGTGAAAGCCGTTCTCGGAGATGTAGTGTGAGCCGGTGTTGGTGCTGGTCACCTGATGCTCCTTAGTGATCACAGAAATGCGTTTCGATTTCGGATTCTTTTCCGATAGTCTGCCGCCCTGGTTCGGGCTCAGTTCATCCTTCGCGCGCATCTGTTGCGGCAGATTGTTGTTCGCCTCGAAATTCTCTTGAGACTGCTGAAGCGGATGCAACAGATGCTGATTATTGTGATGGGCTTGAATCTCGTACTGCTTGATGATCATGCCGTCGGTGTTCGGCTGCATGTTCACGTCCATGTTGGCAAGAGATTCGTATCGAGGCGGTGAGTTCCTGTACGGATCGTAGTTGGATCCGGACGATTCGAACGATCGATTGTGAGGAGATACGTTCTCCTCTGGACTTAGCCCCCCCACGTTTACGGCCTCCAGTTGATTCTGGCCGATCAAAAACCCGGCTACGTTGAATTGGGTGAAACACGGCAGAGGCCTTTGATGATGATTGCTAAAGGTCCCAAAACCGGGTAACACATCCAGACATTGCAGCTGTTGTTGTTCTTGTTGCTGCTGGTGCTGCTGTTGATGCTGCTGCTGCTGCTGCTGCTGCTGTTGTTGATCGTGATGTTGTAACTGCTGCTGGTGTTGAGATTGCCCGGAGAGCGATACAGACATTTCAGTACTACCAGTAGAAGTTAGTTGGATGGTGATAGACTCCAGCAGTCCCGGGATGTTGGTAGTAGGTATAACGTGGGGGGGCAAGGCGTTTGGGTACGGCTGATGAGGCATCGTAGTACCCCCCATCGCCGTGGGTGAAGCCATTGCTGGGTGGACCGAGCCCGGCGTTATGGGAGATGGAGAAGTCATGTGATGCTGTGGGTGGGATGGGCCCATTGGCGAAGGAGAACTCAGGTGGGGCGCCGGCGGTGGGTGCATGGGTGACATGGGTGAACTCATGGGGTGGACAGGAAGTTGGCCCGATGGCGAACCCATTGACAGATGATGAAGCTGCTGCTGCTGCTGCTGCTG